CATACTTTTCTCTTGCTATATCATTGCCACCTTCTCTACCTGTTTTCCTAACCAGCTTTATCTCTCTCAGTATCTGTTCCCTCTCTTTCTGACTAACCAGTCCTATCTGACTCCTCCTTCTCCCACCAAGCCTCATGTAACTGCTGACTCCACCTCTCATAGGTTCATGCAAATCAGCTCATGAATATGAATAGCATGAGTGACGTGGGCGATCATCACAGACAGCTACACGCTTTATGCTGCCAATATGTTCTCTACAACACACCTGGAAATGCAGATGAAATACAAAAGTGTGCACATATGGGTCTTCAAGGACACGGTTGTACTCTTCCATATTGCCAACAGCTTACATGCTTCCTGTGGAAAACATATTGCAAATGTTTCCCATTTCAAATGGCGAAACTGCCCTTACTTGGCATTGAATTGAATTTGCAGTGCAATGCTGTTTATGTTTGCTCAGAAGTATGTTCTTTAGTCTGATGAGACTTCCTTTCAAGTAAGCCAGCCGAAAGTGGAAAGAATCCTATTATGGATTGATGCTAGGATAAGGGAAGTAATGTAAGTCTTGACATCAAATTGCTAATCATTAATGAGGTACTGGTTGTTTTATGGGCCAACCAGCACCTCATTAATGAGTAATAATTTGCCATCAAGATGTACACCATTTCCCTTATGCAATCATAAATTGGCAAAAAGATTCTGGCCATGATGGGACTAGACTCAGTCATTCCCATGAGGTCCCTCTGTATACGTTTGGTTATGCCCATTTTTTCCAGGCTGGTTGGAGGGGGTAGGAAATGTCCCACCAGCCTGGAGGACATAAGAAAGTTGCCAACAGTGCTTTACTTTCCCATATACAGGCCTCTACAATGGGTGTCTACTTACTCCTATTTTACTTCAGTTTGGCAACAATTTCAGCTAAAAGGTTAGTTTTGTTGTGGGAATTGTGTTGTGTTCGATGAAATGGCTGCTGTTACTTTTCACCTGATTTGGTACAGGACTTTAATGGCTTTGGATAGCTGATTTCTTTTCCAGAATGTTTACCAAGATGCACAGCTCATATTTACTAATCATGGCTAAGGCCAAAACTACCTTTCTCCAGCCTGATTGAGGTTGCAGTAGGATCGGTATGATGGAGGAGCAAGTGGGATTGTTGCTTGAAATTTTGCAGAAGGTTGCTTAGACTTGAGGGTTACATGTACGGTAGCTGCTTATGGGACTACTGCTGTTGCTTGCAAGATCTTGCCTCATCTCTTGGCTGTATGTCTGCTCCCCCAACTTAGTTTGTATATTTCTTAAATTAACAGATGCTCCAAAAATGCAATCAGTGTTTATCAGAAAGCAAGTGATGCAGGAGATATTTCTGTCTGTGGAAATGGGGTTTTGGAAGCAATATTTAATCTCTCCTCTCTTCCTCTCTCTCCCTCTCTCTCCCCCTCATTTTTGTACTTAATGTACAGCAATTTCGGTTCTAAAAAAAGCAATAATAATAATAGTGTGCCATCAAGTCGATTCTGACTTATGACAACCCTTTTCAGGTAGTGAATAGTTGGATAGAGAACATTGTGGTCCATTTGAAACCCATAGATTTCTGGTGTTTTCTGATGCAATTCAAGATTTAACCTGGAAATAAGCATTTCAGTATATTTAGATATGATATATAAATTTATGAAATAAATAATTTCAGTTTAAAAATAAAATTGTTCATATCTGAGCTAGCCAAGCAGCCTGACTAGCTTGCTGAGTGTAGAAATAGGCTTTCCAATTAAGCGATGGATGGTAAGAAGCCTTATAGGTAAGGACAGGAAATGATATACTGTAATGGGCATTCGTTTTGTTAAATGCCATTCTTGGAATAGGGAGATTCTGCTACCATCAGTTAAAGCTTTTGCAAAATGCTTTTCTCAAGGATAGGAAGTTAACTAATTGAACCAGGCCTGGTTTAAAACCCATTATATTGCAGTGTTGTACTCAGATTTTGGGATTCATGGGGAAATCTCATTTTTAACATTTAAAAAAGTGTGACTGGAGATGACCAGTTGTTCTAGTGAAATGTGCTGTTGCCATATAGTGAGCTTTAAAGGATTTATGTGGCTTTCGATTGTAATGAACTGACTGGCTTTTTCCAGAATGTATTTACTTCCATGACTATTGGGGGGAAAAAAGAAAAGGACGTCAGGGTGACTGCCAGCAGGTCAAAAGGATGACAGTGATTGGAACTTGTATTTGTTAAGGTGCTGTGGATACATACGGGCCAAGAATAAACTCTTTTTTTGGAATACACATACATGCTTTTTTTAAAAAAGTCTCAATATTTCTTTTCATTTGTCAAATTTTTGAAGTCCCTGAAGGCTTTGGAGAGGCATAGAGGAGACTCTCCATATTGAATGGGTGTTTATATCATTAGAAGTGTTCACTTTCCTCCCCTGCTGCTACATTATGGACAATTGCTATAGAACTGCTCCCATGACTTCACTTGGAAATCCACCACCCCTTTTTCCTCCTACTGTCATGCTGCCATTGAACAGCATTCTGTCACTGTATTGACAGAAATCAGCTGTGTGCTGCTCATTCTGTCCTTTTCAATGTCTTCCATAGCCCCTTTAACACTGCCAATCTGCTTGCCTCACGTCCCCCTTCCGAGTCCTTCACAGCCAAACTGGGATGCCACATCTCTAAAATCCCATTTCCACTCTTGCTGAGAAACTATTCCCCACTACTTGCTACCACACTTATTCTAATATCACCTCCACCCTGACTACCTTATTCCTATACTCTGCTGTGCCAGTTCAAAAGGAGTCAGAATCCCCAACCTCTCCTCTCTAGTCTGGCTCCATCAACAATTCAGACCAAAATGTGTCAAATAAATTCCTAAAGCAACAAATCCAGTTCTATTTGCATCCAAGTCAAATCCTTTCCTCAACATTTTTCTATTCAACCAGCTGTTAGGGTCTCCCTGTCAGTCACCTTCTAGAACTGCTAACCACTGCTTCTCAGCACCTTCTGGCAAGTGAATGGCACCCTTAATGTGAAACAATGTGCATTTTCGACTCCAACAGTGTGAAAATTCTGTTAAATTGTTAATTAAATTCTGTTGGTATGTTTATATTTAATTTTGATTTATATTGTTATATTTTTTTTTGTTTTAACTGTTGTTTAATGATATGTGGTTTAATTGTGTAAACCGCCCAGAGTGGCCTTGGTAGCCAGATGGGCAGTATATATACTGTGTTTCCTCAAAAATAAGACAGGGTCTTATATTAATTTTTGCTCCAAAAATGCATTGAGGCTTATTTTCAGGGGACTTTTTTTTTCAGGTACAACAATCTACATTTATTCAAATACAGTCATTTCTTCTGGATGCTGCACAGTGGTGGAGGGCAGGGTTTCACTTAACTGGGGCACCCCGAAAAATCATACTTGGGCTTATTTTCAGGTTAGGTGTTATTTTAGGGGAAACAAGATATATTAAAAAAGAATTAAATTGGGAGCTAGTGCAGGTTTTTAGAAATTGATTTCATGCCTTTCTTTCTTTTCTTTTTTTTGCATTGGCACATGCTTCCTCAAGGAAAAATTTTTTAGTGTGGTTGTAATTGGTGCTTTGGTGCTCCAGATCCTGTTTATCCTGGGTTTTCCTCTATACCAGAAACAGTTCTCCACCTCAGCTTTCTTGAGGCAGAGCTTGCCGGCCTTGAGACAGCTGACTCCAGACTCAGCAGCTTTTATTCAGCAAAGCCAGCATCAACCGCTTACAGCACAGCCTACAACTATTGTATCAGCCATTTCCTCTGTTCTTTAAGAACCATTATGACTGATCTAAATTGTGCTTTTGAATACTTAATTTTTTTAATACTGTGTTTCCCTGAAAATAAGACAGGGTCTTATATTAATTTTTGCTCCAAAAACACATTAGGGCTTATTTTCAGGGGATATTTTATTTTACAGTCATGTCATCTTCTGGTTGCTACACAATGCTGCACAATGGGGGAGGGGGGGGTTTCACTTAACTGGGGCTTATTTTGGGGGGTAGGGCTTATACAGTATTACGAGCATCCTGAAAAATCACACTAGGGCTTATTTTCAGGTTAGGTCTTATTTTGGGGGAAACAGGGTACAGTATAAGGTTTGAAATGGCATCGTGCTAGATGAATGCCATGCTAAATAGAAGCAGATGAGGGCACGGATGAAGAATGGAATCCAAAACCTGTTGTACTTGGCACCAAGATTTCTTCTAATTATCTGGAGCACTGGGCAGGGGCCCCATCCTGTACACGTGAGGTTTTGGCTATGACTGGAAGCAAGTGGGCAGCAACACTAGCTCTGCTGCACAACCGTGATGCCACACAGTTCAGAGGGAACATTGCTTGGCACCCAAAACTCAGAAGCTCCCACAGATTCCCACAGACACTATTTACTCACGTGTTTAAAAAACTCCACTTTCCAGCCAAAAAAATGTGCACTTTGCCTTGTAGTTGGATATTTTAAATTTGACTCCTAAACCTGACACACAAAAAAAGAGGATTACGACCTGTAGTCAAGCCCTGAGTCAACATTGGATTAACAGATGCTAAGATGAGAACACAGTTTAGCCCACTATAGGTCTAGCCTTGGAAAACCTGGTCATGATGTTGGACAGCTCAACCACAACTGAGAAATTGATAGAAGGTCAAAATATTGTGTGTACTTTCTCCTCAGTTTTTTCTCTCTCTGCAGAACAAATTGGGATATGATTTGCCCCCCAGTTTTAACCATAGTTCTCTCTTACCTGAATTTTTAAAAACCATCTTTGGAACCTCATTTCAAACGTTAGTGTATCCATTCATTGCAATTAAGGGTGAAGGAAGGCATTTGCGCCAAAAAGGGGAGGAAGTGTGTTATTCTGCTGGTTTTGGTTTTGATCTCGTAAAGGAAACAAACTTTGGAACAGAGGGTTTTGTTTCAAGATGCATACATTGTGAATACTGAGCTCTGAAAAATTGTTTTCTCTCTCTCAAAACCAGGGAGAAGTGTCTCCTTCCACTCCAGCTGGCTTTGGAAAGCAAGAATATGAAGTTGGCCCAGCATGCTTTAGCAGGAATGCAGGTATGAGGGGGATACCTAATGTGATTTCTGTTTGCTGTTGTTTCAAGAAGCCTGCCCAAGTTGCAATCCCTGTGTTACGTAGATCATTTTGTCTGAAAGCTGGCTGGAAAGTTTATCCTTCAGTTACATTTACATGCTGAGTATACAGAGCAAATGAGACAAGAGTCCCTCATTGTCCCGTGGAGGTTTTTTAGACAGAACAAAGCCCATGTCTTCTGCCTAGGATATGAAGTTATTTCTGAAACATTCCCCGAAGGTGAAGTGAGTTTCTGGGCACTTCTGTGTTCTGTGTGTCTCAGGGCTGGAAAATGACCTTGGTCAGCCTTGACCTAAAAGAAGGAGCATTTATAGCAAGTAAAAATGTCCCTCTTTCGTGACAAGTGATGGTTCTTGCTTATGACTTTGAGAGCCCAAGTGTCAGGGTTATATACTGTAGATAAGTTTGAAAGTCGTGGTTCAGGTAGTTTCAGTTCATGCATGTATCTTAATTCAAATAAAACATAAGCTCATGTTGATTGAGCCTTCTTGTCCCATCAAAGCCTGGCTCCTGTGATATGGTTTGGAAGTAAGGTAATTTCTTCATAAATATGAAAGCTATAGCAGCTCTATGCATGATGTGTATGAGGACACTTTGAAATTAAACAGATCCATATTTCTTTGCAGAAGCTACTGTCTGACGAGAGATTTGTAACCATGGAAACAGACTCTGATGACAAGCAGTTGCTTAATCAGATACTGAATGCAGTCAGAGTGACTCCTTCCCTCCATGAAGACCTGCAGGTAGAAGTGATGAAGGTTAGTGTTTTACAGACGTCAGTACTTACATGATTGCAGGGGAGACTTCCTGTCTGACTCAGATCTGCAGCTGTTCTGAAGTTACCTGAATCCTTAGTCAGACTTCTCACATCTCAGAACAAAGCCAGGTTTTGTTGCAAATGAACATGGTTTTACCAATTTATATCTGGATCTTGATCACCAGTTCACTGACGAAAGGTATATAAGATCATCATATGAATTGTGAACAAAGCCTTGCCGTCTTATTTCTCTGCTATTTGTCTGTCTACCAGGGAGAAACTCCTATATCCATAGAGACTCTTTGCATGATTTTGAACCCCAGTTGTCTCTAGAGTCCTCCTTGTGGCTAATCACTCTACACAGAGAGCAAGGGAAGTAGGGCTGGAGGAGAACAGTGCTATCATATTTGTGTATGTTCCCTTTCATCACATCTAGCCCCTACACCAGGGATGAGCATTTTTCAGAGGGTCAGGGGCTGTAGATGCCCACCCCTTGACCTTTGAAGGCCATACCTGCCTGTGTGCCCCCTTCCACCCACAAATAGATTTTCTATTGTTTTTTTCTTTTTCTTTTACTGAAAACACCCTTTTGTGCTCTCTACTGCACACAAGGAACAATATCACCATGTTTAGGGTTGTTTCTAAGGGATGTGATCAGATGGTGACAAAGGTGCATGTCTGATTGTACTGGAAAGGGTTGCTTTGCTGGACACAATGTCCCTTAAAGCAACCTTTCCATCCGTTAGGGAGTCACTCCAGCCTGGTCACAAATAGTGGAAGCTCTGCTGCTGGACCAGAAAAATCCAGCTTGGGATGGATCGGGGCTGGGATGGAGTCATGATCACCGAGAAACAACTCATTCTGGGCAATGCCACAAGCGGTCCAAAATGCAAGCTTTGTGTCTATGTGATCACTCCTTGAGTTGTTCTAAGTGGCTCTAAGTGTCTTCTGGCTTCCAAAAGAGAGTACCAAGCCCCACAAAATTTAGGTGGTGGTGGTGGTCGTAAAAAATGGAGGGAAAATTGTTCCCTGCAGGGACTTTCCTAGAGCCAATTTTTCTTCTTATCCCTCTCCTTCTTCTTCTCCTTCTCCTTCTTCTTCAAGTGGGTTGCTGGTTGGGTCAAGGATACTCAGTGGCCACGCATGGGCCCTTGGGAGCCAATAGCAGCCTGTGGGGTGCACTTTACCCATCCCCTGTAAGCACACTTTGTAGGACCACAGGCCTCCTGTTGACTAAAAATCAGGTGAATCCTTCTCATAATGAAGAACAATTACATGACAAAAAGGTTCATCATGTTGATGCCTAGAGTACAAAGCAAGCTCTTCTATAAACACAGGATTTTACTGTAAACATTTGGGACTTCAAAACGTGCTCACAGTTTCAAATGGCCTTGTACATCTCATCATAACATACCAGCGTAGCCACTGGATATGTTAACTTAGAAAGACTAATCTAGAAAGAAAATAACCGCTTAGATCACATACTAGTAATCCACCAAGAGGCAAACCTACAAACCATATCAGTCTCACGTACGTACAAAGGGTGAGCATCTTGAACTTTAATCTTTCTGAGATTCAAACATGGATTACCTTGCTTTTTAAAAGCTAGTATAATTCTTTCCAGAATCCTTTCATATGATGGGACAATTTTTAACCCTTGCATATTAATATAGGATGAAAGAGTATTGATATTTATTATTTTTAATATTGTTTGAGAGATGCAAGACATAGATGCATAGTACATTACTTTCAAAGGTGACTTTTTTACCCCTTTCTCCCTCCTGATATTGTCTGCTTACTATCAATTCTGGGCAGAACTTCAAGGCTTCAAGGTACTTGAGACAGAAACACTCCTACTAGCTAGGTGAAAAAACACACACCATCACTTGCATGAAGATCCATTAAATCAAATGCCAAATCAACACTTTTACTGTATAAATTCCCCTGATTTAATAAGTCTGCTGCAATCAGGACTACTACTTGAATTCAGGTCTTAATATTTAAACTACAACAAGATACGGTATAGTCCTTCCTTCCTTCCTCCCTACCTACAAGGACCCAATGAATTCAGTAGGGTTTATTCTTAGGTAGCTCTATATGGGATTATATCTTTTGTTCAACACTGAATGGCTGAAATCCTGTTGGTTAGCATAGTGGTTCTCAAACTGGCGTACCCAGATGACTATTCCCAGTAGTCTTCACCACTTGCTGTGTTGGCCAGGATTTCTGGGAGTTGCAGTCCAAGAACATCCGGGGACCCAAGTTTGTGAACCACTGGCTTGTTATAATAAGTTGCACCAGAGTGGGACCATTGAATCAGTGGAGCTTTAGTTAGTCAACTCCTCCACTGATTCAATTGGGCCTACTCTAATTGGGACTTACTTTAGAACAGAAACCTTGTCTGTGTGATGATGATGATGACACTGCTTCTGTCTCCTTATGTCTTTTATTACCTCCTAGCTTTCCAAACTTTGGAAATGTCCTTCTGAGTTGGTTTTGGTAAAGTGCAAAAACAACTGCAAACATAATGTAAGGGGTTAAAAACACCAGGCACTGAGTAGACCTGGGTTTAGCTCACAAAAAAATCCTGTTCCTAACATTACTGAACTCCTTAACTATTGCCCGTGTTTCAGGCCAGTTTGATAACTGAAAAACAACTGCAAACATAATGTAAGGGGGGAAAAAAACCAGGCACTGAGTAGACCTGGGTTTAGCTCACAAAAAAATCCTGTTCCTAACATTACTGAACTCCTTAACTATTGCCCGTGTTTCAGGCCAGTTTGATAACTGAGTGTAATGGAACTCCTTAACTATTGCCCGTGTTTCAGGTCAGTTTAATAACTGAGTACATAGTAATGCTCTCTTCCACGTATTTGTCTGAAATTTCAAAGCCTTTAATTCAAGTTGTTGGTCCCGTTTAGAGTGGACTCAGTGAATCAATGCAGATAAAGTAATGTTTACTTGCCAAGTTCCTATTGTTTTAGTGGGTCTGTACTAACAAAAACTGACTGAATTTAGGCCTGTGACCTAACTATCTTTTTTTCCCAGAGGTTAGGCAGCATGATAGCTATTGTGACTTTTAAATTTAGGCCTGTGACCTAACTATCTTTTTGTCCCAGAAGTTAGGCAGCATGATAGCTATTATGACTTTTAATGCAACGACTCCAAACAATGATATTGTGTGGCATACAAATCAGTTGTGCTTCAGTCTCAGTACTGATGTGCATTCATTCCTCAGTCCTGGTGTGCATCCTACTTTTACATTTCACAAAGTATGCTTTTATTTTTGCTAGTCCCAGGTTTGTTTTATCACATCATATTATAGTGTGGATTTAAAGCCTGTCAGATGAGCAGCTGAGGTGCTTGGTGCCCCTAACAGTGAAAGCATGTTCTGGATATTCCATAGGAGAGATTTCCAACCCCATGATCAGCTGCAAGATATCTGTGTGGAGATTTCCAAGGCACCATTTGGGAACCTACTAATTTTATACAGTATTAGCATTTCCACCACTTTTCCTGATGCAGCTCAACTCACAGTAATGTAGCTGGTAAAGCCTTCTCTGTTATTTTGTGTGTGTGTGTGTGTGTCTTTAAACCTACTAAAACCTACTAAATTTTGAAATCTTGGGCATTTTTCTTGCCCATCTTGGGGAAAAACTGGCAGCCCCAAGTTACATACAATCTGCAGCATTGATCTGAGTGGGATATTCAGTGTCCTTTTTCCTTGATGTGGCTTAATCCTGCATTCCTCATTGCCCTAGAAAATGAGAGACTGCTAAGAAAGCTGCCACATGCATGAAAGAGGAGAAATGGAAATTGCTAATTAATCCCTGCTCAACAGTTTCCCTGAACGACTGTCAGCAGTGACCTTTTCTACTATTTATGAGACTCTTTTTCTTTACTGTTAATTAAAGTGATAAAGAATCCCTGGGCTGGTGCAGTGAATTTCTCTCACAATATTAATAGATAGTATTCCTCATTTTCACCCTGACTCTGGAAAAACTAATCTTCGTAAATTTTAGCAAATCTTTGCAGTGTCTCATGTGGACATGGAAAAAATAGAAGCTCTCTTATTACAAAAAGAATACACAGTTACACATAAGGGTTTGGGATTCAATAAGGACTGTTAATTCCTGTTTTCACTTGCAGAGCATAGCAGTCTGTCACCTGCTCTGTTTAAAAGGGCATAGTGTTCTTTTAATTGATACCTGGAGCAGATGTGATGTTTTCCAGTTAGCATTGTTTTTCTTATTTTTTCTTTTAGGAAATCTTACATTCCTTTTAATAAATACTGAAAAAATAATTAATGTACCAAAAAACAAACAAACCCTGATGTTTGGGGGGTTTTCTTCTCAGAATTTTCCATCATATAATAACAAGTTTGCCTTCATCCTTTTCTTGCATGGGACAGTTGTTAGAGTCATGTCAAGGATTTTGAATATGAAGGTTCAAGTCCCCACTGAGTTGCGAAACTCATTAAGGGACCTTGCACTACTTACTGTCTAGCCCTATCCAAGTGTTCCTAAAGTATGTGTGCATGACACTCGAGGGTCACACAAACATACTTTATGTTAGCACCACCCTTCACCATGCAAAATCAACACTCTGAAGCGAGTGTATCTGTTTAAGCTCTCCGTGTGAGCCAGCATACATAGAGAGCTTGCCCAGATATAGTAGTCTTCCTCTCTTCAAATGAGCAGTGTCCTTCATTGCATGTCGAGAACAAATCCTTTATTATGACAGAATGGGGCTGCTCTCAGCATAACCTGTATCACATGGTTGTTTTTATGGTTAAAAGGGCAGTGGCGAGCCATGTAGTTCAGTGGGCATAATCTAGTTGGCTGCTTGAACAACTACAGACTCATCTCAAATATTACTTTCCTAAACAAGGTTGATTGAGAGGGTAGTAGCTGCAGGCATTCTTGAAATAAACTAATAGTCTGGATCCATTTCTGTCAGGGCTTAGGCTCTGACATGGTACTGAAATACTTGTCAAGCTGC